TCACTGTGGCAGATCAGGGACTTGCAGGCACAGGTGCAAGACCATTAGAGCTAAGCTTCAGCTGGGGGACAGCAGGCAAGCTCTAGGTCTGGGTGCCCCCCCAAGGCAGGTGACCCCCTGCAGTGACCCTTCCCTTCCCCCTGCATGGCACCAGGAGTGGTCACGTCCATCATGAAGCTGGACCTAGAGGCTATCAAAGCCCACACTCGGGTCCTGAAGGGACGGAAGCCCACCTAGAGATGGGGACACATATAGGCTGTGCTGTGTCCTGACCTTGTCTCCCATTCGTATACCGAAACCCTAACCCTGACTGTGTCTAGAGGCGGGGCCTTTAAAGAGGTATTGAAGGTAAAAGTGAGAGTACTTTGGTGGGCTCTAATCCAGCCTGATGCCCTTAAGAACAGTAGGACATCGAGACCCAGACACACACAGAGGGAGAGGAGGCAGCCAGCTACATGCCAGCAATGGAAGCCTGAAACAGAACTAACCCTGTCACACCTTGATCTTACTTCCAGCCTCCAGAACTGTGGGGGAGTAAGTTTCTGTGAAGAAACACATGTGTGCATGCAAAGCCAGGAGTTATCTATGGGCCACGTCTGACCAGAAGGGATGCCATCCAGGAAGGCTTACAGAAGTGTGATGCCTGAGCTGGGTGTTGACATATGAATAGGAGTCCGTTGGACAGACCAAGCATGGAAGGCCACTGTGGGCATGAGGAACACCATCGAGGGGAGAAATAAAGCTGGCCTGTGGAAGCTGCCTGGACGCAAGCGAGGGAGGGCCAGCCAGGTGACTCTGGAGAGGTGAGCAGGTGCAGGACAGGCGCCAAGCTAAGGGAACGCTCTGCCTGTACTGAATCCACTGAACACCATAAGCCTGTTCTGCAGATGGGCAAACCGAGGCTCGCACAGGTGACAGAACTCTGGCTCAGAGAGGATGGCAGAGCTGGGGTCTGAACTCAGACCGTGTCGGTTCCAAAGCCACATTTCTTTATCATGAGATGTTTCCCCCTCTCCTCCCACAGGAGAGCTGTGGGGGCATGGCCAGCACCCCGTCTCATCCCAGGGGGCTGCCTGGAACTGCCAGACCCCGAAGTAGGTGCACCACTCACAGGAAGGGAGCACGCGGAGCAGAGCTGCTGCAGGGCCCTGCTGGGAACACAGTCGCAAGCACCAGCTGCCCTAACCGGCATCGCCTTTCATCCCTGTGGAAACTGGAAGCTGCTGCTGCCTCCCTGGAGAGCCCAAAGTTTGGGCTGAAGGCTTTTTGGAAAAAGGCTCAGTATGGCAGGCGCCTCTACAGTCACCCCGGTGACGCCTGACACTTCGCCACGGCTCTCGCTGACAAGTGTCTTCAAAGGACAGAAATCGCCGGCTTGCTGGCTTTTCATACAGATGTCATTCATCCACAGGAAGCGCTTTTCCCTGCGCACTGTGACAGTTATTTTGGTTCAAGAAAGCCAAACCCAGTGTGAAACCAAGAAAAAAAGAAAAGGAAGTAGGGAAGGGAGGGACACGGGGAGGGGAGCGCATCTCTGGCAAAATTAGGAAAGGTGGCATTTGGGTAAACAGTGCACAGACTGGCCCTCTCCACGAGGATCTCTGAGACCACCACCCGGGGGAAGGGCTGGGCTGAAGGGCAGCAGGTGAGACGAGCTCAGGGAGCTGCGGTGGCCTTGCCCGGGGCTGCAGACCACTCCTGCAAAGCGGGCAGGGTCCACTTCAGCCAACCAGACCTGCAAAGCTGGCATGCGACAGGGAGGGGCTGGCGACCCCCTAGGGGTACCCATGGCGTCTCTGAGGAGAACATGACACCCAAGGACAAGCACATCCACTTGGCAGAAGCTACACACAGGACCCTCTTTGTCCAGTCACGGCTGAGTCCTGGCCTAAAGGGTCCCGTGACAGAGGCTTCCCACAGTGCCCAGGCCAGTGGAGTTCTGCCCCAGGGCTGTGTCCTAACATGCTATGTGGCCTCCCCCTGACCCCTCATGCGCAACATCAGGTTCTTCAAACAAAAAGGCACATCCTGCACCACCACCGAGCAGGTTAACAGCGGTCGGTGGCAGATGTGACCTGCGTCTGGTTCACCTCTGTGGAAATGTGGACGGCTAGAATGGAGTGACCAACAGTTTCCAGAACTTTCCGTGGGGTGACGTTGTGGGTGGCATTTTGATTGCAGGTTATAGAAACTTAACCAATCGAACAAACAAGAAACCAGGTGAGCTCCAATGATCAAGCTATAGACACAGAGGAGGAGGCAGCCTCAGGATGATTCAAACCAGAGCTCTGTCTCTCTTGGCCCTTCTCTGCATGCTGGGCCTGCCTTGACCCCCTTGAAGCTGTCTGTAACCCTGGCTGTGGGCAGCTATGAGCTTCCTTCCTTCCAGTACCTCTGCTACAGAGAAAAAGATTTCCCCTCTTTGTTGCAACTAAAAAATCCCAGAGAATTCTCTGATTGGATCAACTTGAGTCATGTGACTTCTCCTGGGACTAACTGTAGCCAGGGGATGGAGTACCATGACCATCAGCTCCTGTGTCTCCCTGGCTGATCACATGACTGAGCAGAGGCATAGGAAGCATAAAGAAGACAGTACAGGAATGGGGTGTTACAGTGCTGACACCCAAGTGCACCTGCTATACAACGGCCTGTTTTTGCCATTCCATGAGTACCCCAGGGCCTGCCTACCTCTCCAGCCTGACTTCTCCAAGAACAGGATCGTCAGAGGCAGATGCACAGGGCCATCTGGTCGCAAACAGGAACACGCACTGAGCACTCACCACGTACTGGGCGCCACGCCAAACACCTTGCTGAAGGATCCCACTGGCTCGTTACAGCAGCCCCACCACCCTGCCTCACAGTGGGAAAAGCCAATGCTTAGAGAGCTATGGGGCTCACCCAAGATCACCCAGTTTGTAAGAGGCAGAGCTGGGAGCTGAAACTGATTCCAGCCAGTGAATTTCAAAGCCAGTGCTCTATACCTTAACCTCATTCTGACTCCCAGAGAAAACCCTTAAGGCAGTCAAATTCCCCCAAAGTGGCACAGGACTTAGTTGCTGGGCTACAGAACGGTGCCCAGGAATACTGGACACAGGGTCGCATCTTTGAATGCAGACAAGTGTCTGGTACAGAGCGGACCTTTCTGCTCTGCTTTAGGGATGGTCTAGTGCATTCCCCGAAGGTCCAAGTTGGAAGCTTGGCCTCGGTGTGGCTGTGTTAAGGGGTGGGGGTAGCTGTAAGAGGTGGGGTCAGAGGCCAGCACTGTGGCACAGCCAGTAAAGCTGCCATCTGCATCCCAGATGGGCAAAAGTTGGTGGCTGCTTCACTTCTGATCCAGCTCCCTGCTAATGCACCTAGGAAAAGCAGTGGACAATGGCCCAAGTGTTTGGGCCCCTGCCACCCACATGGGAGACCCAGATGAAGCTCCTGGCTCCTGGCTTCAGCCTGGCCCAGCTCTGACCATTGCAGCCATCTGGGGAGTGAACGAGCAGATAGAAGATCTCTCTGTCTCTCCCTCTCTCTCTGTAACTCTTTCAAATAAATGAATCAATCTTTACAAAAGAAAAAAGAGGAGAAGCCTAATAGAAGGTGCTTACTGGCCCTCCTGCCTCTGTGGCTCCCCTTGATCCCTCCTTCCTGCGTGCACTGACACTATGATGCCGTCTGCTACAACGGCATGCAGACGGGGGCCCTCACCAGAGCCCGTTCTCTGCTGTCGGAACTTTAGCCTCCAGAATTCCAAGCCAAACAAGCCTCTTTTCTTCATTAAGTACCCAGCCTCAAGTATTTTGCTATAGTAAGGGAAAACCAACTAACACCTGTCGCTCCCCCTCTTCGTGGAGGAACTACACAGGACCCTGCGCTGTTCTTTTGTCTGCTCGGCCCTTCCCGGGTTTGCTGCTGGTTCTTCCCAGGTTGGCTACCGTCCCTTCCACCTCCGTGGAAGGGCGGTTCCCCCTGCCACTTTCCCCACTTCCGTGGGGGAGCGGCACACCGCCGGCCGGCTCTCTCGGGGGCTGCACAGGTGTTCCTTCAGATAGATGTTCCTGGTGCATGTTGTCTCTCTCCTCCTTTATAGTCCTCTTCCACCAATCTCAACTCTGCTACCCACACGCCGAGTACGCTGCTCTCCTCCAATCAGGAGCAGGTCCTACAGTTTATTGGTTGAACTGGAGGCAGCTGTGTAGAAGCTGTTTCCTCCTCTCCCAGCGCCATATTGTGGGAGAGCAGATGCATAAAATAAGTCTTAATTCCAGTAACAGTCTAGTCCGAGTTGCTCCCCACAAACACCTTTCTCCCATCAGCCCTCCCCTAGTGGGTGGGTGGTCAACAAATGGCTGAACTAGACTCAAGCTGTGGGCAAAGGAAAGGTGGAGAGACACCCCCCACCCCAGGCGATGTTCAGCTCTGTCTGTGCAAGTGACAAAGTGGGTCCTGACCTCAAGGCAAGTGACAAGTATCATGTCGCGGAGATAAGGTGGCGGCCTGACATCACACAGAAGAATTCTAAAGGAGAAACTCAATTTCTCATTCAGTCGAGAGGACTTCTGTGTCCAGTAATATGGGAGACAATGGAATCAGAAGCTCCCACTACAACACTCCCAGGAGCCTGGACCAAGTGCGCCAGCATCCCTGTAACTAAGCAGCTCAGTGCCATGAGAAAGGAACAGAAATGCCCTGGGCCAGAATGGAAGGGCCAGCTCCAGCAAACCAAGCTGCTGAGGACGAGGGAGCCAGTGCCCTCCACGGGGAGCCAGTGCCCTCCACAGGGAGCCCGTGCCCTCCACAGGGAGCCCGTGCCCTCCACGGGGAGCCCGTGCCTTCCACAGGGAGCCCATCCTGGTAGTCAGGAGGCTTCCTCCCTCCCCAAGTGTGGTCACACACTGCCGTGCCCGAACACTAAAAGAAGACAGGCTTGATCCGTCTGGGTCTCGCCTCCAGATTGGAAAACCAAGAAAGTAACCCTCCCCGAGGCTCTGTCACCATGGCTCCGCACTTACCTGGGAGCTCCTGGACCCGAGTGTGCACCAGAATCACTCCAGCGGTTGTTAAGCGAGAGACCGCGGCACCCCAGCCCCAGGATTCCTGACCTGGTACACACCTGATGAATGTCCACAGGGAGCTGAACTGCTGGTCCAGGGACCACACTTTGAGAACCACTACTGTCAGACTAGAAACTAACATGAGAAAAAATCATTCTCAGCTGGGGATGAGAAGAGCTGGGGAAAAAAATGAAGCAAAGAGCAAATACAAAATTTCTCTAGCACAGGGGTAAGCAAACCATGACCTTCAGGACAAGTCCCTCCCGCCGTGGGACAAGTCTAGCCTCACCCATTGGCTTGTGTACATTTATGGCTGCTTTGCGCAATACTGTGGTAGAGCCTGTAGCCTACACAGCCAAAAATGTTTACCACCTGGCTGACTTCCGCACCAGGATCCATCCAGGTCATACAGAATACACAGGGTATGATCCTACCTAGATTTCTCTCAAAAAGTAAAAAAAAAAAAAAAAAAGTAAGGGGAGCTGGTCTACCAAGTGCAAGCATCAACAGACACAGCAGCAGCAGGATCAGGCCCAGGAACTTCTGGTAACAGAATTACTGACCACAGACTACACCTGCAACAGGGAGGCAGCCTCCGCTCCGCAACTCGTAGGTCTCCAATCAAGGGCAATGATGTGGGTGACGACACTGCATGCCCGCTGAGTGCCAGGCGGTGTGCCCAGTGCCCAGGGCCATCCAAACCCTGTCCACGAGAAGGACCCGACTGGGGCTCAGAGGCGGCTTTACTTGCCCAGAGGTACACAGCAAACACGAGGCACAGCCGGGAGCAGACCCAGGCATTGGGCTGGAAACCTGTTCTAGAAAGTTCCAAATCCTATGCCTCACCTCCACTTCCAGAGCAAGGCAATTATGGCTGAAATCAAGAGCCCTAACTCAGGGTGCATGGCTATCTTGAGGGATCCCACCCCTGGCAGCTCTCTGAAAACTGCTGTATGCCCGTGACGGTTCTGAGGACAACTCAGCTCCCATCCGGTCGCCAAAGTCAAGCAGCTCCTGAGACAGGCATTCCCAATGCAAGCCTGTCTGCACCCTTGGCTAGAACCACAGTCCTAACTAACATTTCCTGTGCAGGATGCCAGATACCTCCTCAATGCCATAAAACCCCACAAGGAAGTGCTTGTGTCATGCCCATTTTACAGAGGAGAAAACTGATGTGGCAGAAGCCCAAATGACTTAGCCAGGATCACACAGTTGGTAAGTGGCAGAAGAGAGGCCCTCTCCCATGCACACTTACCACTGCCACACTGCCACCTGAAGCCCAGAGTCCAGTCACTGGTCTACATACAGTGGGAAGGGCCACCCCAGCCACCACCATGTGCACAAGACACATGACGCTCGTTCGACTCCAGCTCTGGGGTGATGTCACTTCCCTAATCCCAACCTCCACGTGCCCAAGGGTCTTTCGGGGCCATCCATGCATGGACTGGACACTGCTTAGCGCGCGTCCGCCCGTCCCCCAGCACCTCTCCTGGCACGGACCCAGACATCAACTACCTACTTGGCTGGTGCCTCGCTTGTCGACAGCGTAAACACACATTTACCCAATTTTTCAGAATGAGCAATATTTACTCAACAACCCAGAGTGGCTCATATGGAACCATTAAACCCCATTGCTTCAGTCTGCAGCTTGGAGTGCGATAATGAATCAGTATTTTGGAGCGATTACGATGCTAATAAGAATGTGTGAGGCACAGAGGATCACTGTGCAGGGGCGGCCGCCAAATCCCCGGGACTCCCAGCCTCCAACCTCCCAGCCAGGAGCTGCACCGCTCCAGACTCCAGCCTGCCTGAGACCCTCCCATCCCCAGCGCAGGCCACGAAGCAGGACCATGAGCCCACCATTCTGCCGAGCACGGTCCCACCGTGCCAACTTTTGCTAGGGTCACGGTGCTCCCCTTCTGACAGCCCTGCAAGGTCCCAGAGCCTGCTGTGTTGGCGGGGCCTGGGTGTGGGTGTGGGTGCAGCATTTCACACGTGCACACGTGCACACACGGGAGGAGAAAATGCTTGTTCCCTCAGGCTTCACGCCTGGAGCAATGTTGGATATGCATTCGTATTTTTTTTTTTCTTTTTTGGCTCTTTCTCTTTTTCACAAGCCCCTAGGTAAACAAGACTGCTAAATGGCCTGGCTGCTGGGAGAAGCCAGGCATGCAGTCTCTGGCCAGAAGATGGTGGCAGAAGAAGCTGAGCCTCTTTGCCTGGACACTTCTCCCACTCTGGGCCCACAAACACCTTCATTCTCCTCCTCAACCACCCCCCAAACCAACAGCCCTGGTTCCCCTCTGCTCATGGTAGCAACAGCAGCAGCTTGAGCCACCTATGCTGGCCTCCCTAGCCACACCCCACCTCTGTGTGCCTCCCCTCGTGCTCCAGACACACGGGCGACGGTCACTTCGGGAACCAGCGCTGTGTCCTCCCACACACGGCCGACGGTCACTTCCGGGAACCAGCGATGTGTCCTCCCACACACGGCCGACGGTCACTTCCGGGAACCAGCGATGTGTCCTCCCCTCTAGGACCTTCGCACAGGCCGTTTCCGTCCTCTGACTGAATGCCACACCCCTCTTTCCTCGGCAACCCGGGGAGGCCTTCCCTGACGTCCAGACTCGGTCTGGTCCCTGTTATACAATCTCATCATTCCTGACTCACTTCTTCTGCAGGATTTGCAATTCCAAACGTGTGTGATTATTTGATTAATGTCAGTCTCTTAAGGGACTTTACTTCTAAACACCATGGAGACCCATGGCACATTAGGAGAGAGAGCACGTCCGTTTTGATCACCAGGGCATACCCCAGCCCCTGGCCTGGGGCCTGGAATCAAGCGGGAGCTGGAAAAACACTTCCTGGGTGGGTGACTGACGGATGCCATGACCGCACCCCTCACCCGAGCCCTTCCACTCGCGTCCCCAGTGCCCGCTGCTTCCGTGCTGAGCTGGCCCCTTGCTCTTCAGGCGTTTTCTACACGGCATCGTTTTGTCTACTGCGAAGTGCCATGCTCGACTGCAAGCCCTAGATAAATATTTAATCAAGGCAGACGCTTGTGCACCTCACGAGGACGGCCCTGCGTGCTCCCTTTGGTTCGGCTGAGTGTGCGTGTGCGTGTGGGTGAACACGTGTGCACACACCAGCATCTCTACAGAAGAGTCCCCAGCAGAAACACACACATCAGCACAGGAAGGAAGCCCTCACTCCTGAGGACGCCATCCGCACACATTCCTGGTTTGAGGAATTCCTGCGACACAAGAGGCACAGGCACCCCCTCCCCCCGGGGAAGAACAGCAACTAAGAACAGCAGACGCCCTGGGCTGCCCAGGAGGCACCAGTGCTTACTGGGTGCCTACGATGTGTGCGACTCCTGAGTCAGACATCGCAGGAAAAGTCACTCCTCCAACCACACAGCACTTCGAGGGTACCCATTTCACAGGCAAGCAAACTGAGGCACAGCACAGGCCCACCTGCTCAAGTCTCACTTACAGGGGCAGAATCAGACCCAGGTGTGCCTGACTCTCCCTCCAGGTTCTTGGCCACAGAGCCCTTCCTGCTGAGAACAAGGCCTAGCACACTAAACCAGAAGCACAGCATTTCTACCAGAACAGAATTTAAAGCAACCAACAAGCAAAAAACCCAGAGATGCAGGGAAGGGGCCAGGCTGAGTAGAGAGATCCATTCACTCTACGGAATATGAGGCAGGCAAAACACTTGTTCCACATTTCTACATTTATTTATTTTCACTTTCTATTTGAAAGGCAGAGAGACAGAGATAGAAACAGAGAGGGAGAGAGGGAGAGAGGGAGAGAGGGAGGGAGAGATCTTCCACCCACTGGTCCACTCCCCAAGAGGCCCCAATAGCCCAGGCTGGGCCAGGCTGAACTCAGGAGCCGGAACCCCCTTTGGGTCTCCCACGTGGGGACCTGGAACCCGGGGCCTGGGCCCTTCCCTGCTACCTCCTAGGTGCATTAGCAGGAATCTGGAGTCGGGAATAGAGCTGAGACTCGAACCCAAGCACTCTAATATGGATGCCAACATCCCCAGTGAACGCTTGTCCTAAAGACAGTGAAATGACGTGGAAGGGGCTAACCCGGACGTGAGGCAGAAAGACGGGCAGGCAGCATGGGCCGCCCTGATGGGGCCGAGCAGGAAGAGAAGACACAGAACGCATCACAAGGCAGCAGGGGCTCCCTCCTGGCACTTGCTCTCCCTCCACTCTGTTTTCAGAGCCCTCCCAGAGCACAGTGACAGGACCTTCATAAGACAACATCAATTTCCCAAATCCCTCCTCTCCCTGGCAGTGTTGAGATTCCTCCCAAATCCCTCTGCGGCCTGTGTCTCCCCACCCCAAATCCCAGAGAGCTCTCCTTGGCTCCGCTTCATCCCCTACCAACTCAAACCGGAATAAAAATAGAGAAGAGTGGGCACAGAGAGCTGCGAGTGGTTGTGTGCAGGGATCCTGGGGACGCATCTCCCTCCTCGGTGTGCGTGTGCGTGTGCGTGCCTGAGGATGCTTTGGCCCTGCAGGCTGCCAAGCAGAACCTCAGTCAGAAACTGGCGTCCTCACGGCCGCTGCCAGAGCTGGGAAAGCTCCCGTGGCCGGCCCCAGGGAAGGGGGCTGCAGTGCAGGCCAAGGTCCTGATGTCCCAAGGCGTCCTTCCTAAAGGCCTCACAGACCTTCCGGAGGGGAGATAATTGTGTCACTTCCTTTGATCCTATTCCTGGCACCTGACCATGCAGGCTCTTCACCTAATAGGGAGAACAGGACGGGGGGAGTCTCCCCCCAACTCTTTCCATGGCCCTTGGAGAGTGAGTCCGTCTTGTCCTCACTCCATGGAGGTGTCAGCCCCAACAGAACCTCCCAGAAGGACAGTGTCAAGTACATTAGGGGGGCACATCCTCTTAGTCCATCAGCCAGCAGGCTGGGCGAGGCCAGGACTGGGGGACATGGAGCTTGCTCCTCAGCATCTTCAAACCAAACCCTGCTTCCTGCTGTGGTCCAGCAAGTTCAGGAGCAAGATTCCTGCTCCCCGAAACCCTGGGAGCAGAAGTGAGGGCTCATCAGCCGATGCTCACCGAGCAGCTCACGTGTGCCAAAGCCCGTGGTGTGACAAGCCAGCCAGGCAGACACAAACGCTGCCCTCCTGGGTCTCCAGAAAGGCACAGTCATCAACCCTGGGCAATCGGGAGGGGATACTTGGGAGCCCTAATCTTCCAGGATGCTCAGGACAGCCTCTTGGCTAAGCTGTGGAGGACGACAGAGTTTGCCAGGTGGAGAGAGGAACAGACACTTCCAGGCAGGGGAACACGTGTGTGAGGAAGGATGGACACCTGGGGGCTGGGGAAGTGTCTAGGCCTGGCTGGGGGACTTGGCAGAAAGGAAGGAGAGGAAAGACGAGAGGGTGGAGGTGAAGAGGGGAAGGGGTGGCTGCGCAGGTCTCACGGACCAAGGCACAGTGTCGACTTCGGTCCACGGGCAACGGGGCAGCGTCGGGCATTTTAAATGGAGGGAAGAGTGTGGTGACCTGACTTAGTGTTTTGTAAACATCACTCAAGGCAGAGCTCAGGGTCCAAGACTCAGAATGGAGCAGGGGCACTGCCACGTGACCTAAGGTAAGTCGCTGCCTGCTCCTTGCCCAGCTTCCCGAGGAGGCCCCGGCACGGAGCCTGGGAAGGACTCCAGGGTGGGCAGTGGCCTGCAGCTCAGGGCTAAGCGGATGCTAAGCCTGGCAGGGCCAGGTGGGAGAGCAGCAGGCCAACTGGCAGCCCACGCTCTGGCACACAGGCCTCTTCTTGCTCGACCCCAGCCGGGCCTGAGCCACTCCCCGCCTCCGCCATACACCCTATCTCCAAGTCTCCAAGTCACCTTCTCTTCCCCCAGTGTCTAGCGAGCTTTATCCTAGCTCCTCCCCACAGCATGACCTGGTCCTGCCTCCCTCCCCTGGGATACAGGAAGCTAAGACTGGGGCAGCCCAAGATAGTCAAGAAAAAGGCTGGAAAACACCTGCCCCATTTGGCAGATGGGGAAAAATGAGGCATAGCTGAGGCTCCAGTGGAAAGCAAAAGGTCTACCATTTGGCAGTGCCCCACTCCTCTCACTGCAAGTGCCCAGGCCCCTCGACCTGGAGGCTGCAACCTTCTCAAGGACGTATGGTAGGCAAGTTCCCTTTAGCCCATCATCCAGCATGCTCAGGGGAGGGGGACAGCCGCACATCTTTCAGAGACCAGGCCCGATTCCAGAAATGAGATGTGTCCCTCCTCCCCTCTCCCCGCCACAGAACCCTGCGAAGTAGGACGTCCTGGGCTTACGAGCAGCAGCGTGGCCGGGGCCAGGATCCACACGGAGGCAGCAGCGGCCGCCCGTTCCTGAGCTTCGAGAACTCACCTCTGCTTCTGAGCTCACCTGTGCCTCTCCGCCTGGCTCTGTCCCTGCATGCCTGTGTCTCTCCGCCTGGCTCTGTCCCTGCATGCCTGTGTCTCTCCGCGTCCTGCAGTCTACATGCCTCTGTCTCTCTGTGTCTTTCTTGCCTCTGACTGACACTCCTGTGTCTGTCTTTCTCATCTCCCCACTTCCTCCCCGGCCAGGGAATCGGGGGTACAGATCTCCGCGGACCGCCAGCTGGAAGCGGAGTCAGATCCTCGTCTTCGCCTTCCTCACTACCTACTAATCACACTTGTGTGAAGCGGACGCTCTCCGGAGCGAACAGAGAGGCCTCCTTGGAGAGGGCACAATCAGACACTTTTTAAGATCACGGCGCATTAGGCCGTTCCCAACTGGGTTTACTAATCAAACAGGCAAATCCTTCATAACCAGCCAATCCCTACAGGGCAATTAAATCCTTCCCCTTTAAAACACTTGCCACACTGTCTGGGGACGGAGAGAAAAATTTGCAAAATTCATTTGATAAATTAGCCAGGGAAAAGAAAGGAGTGAATCAAGCTTTGTTCTTTTCATTTTTTTTAATTATGGAATTCACAATGCCTGAATAATGTTTAATAAGAACTATGAAAATTCCTAACAGTATTACAACACAACACAAAAGAATTAACCTGGTTACCGTGAAAAATTGCATATTTAATTAAGAACAGAGAGTTCAAAACTATCCAGAGATTTCAAAAGTGCTGTTGCCTGAGGGGCCAAATTACATGCTTCCAGGGCTGCTAACGGAGCCAGCGCGCTCAGTCATTACCCAGGCGTCCCCATTAAGTGACTCCGGGCAGCTGACATCAAATTCATTTCAAAAGCA